AATATGTAGATTTTTTGTTTAAAGATTTATTTATTTATTCATTCAAAAAAGTAGATTTTGTACAAAGGATGCCAGCTGTCCTGCATGTAGTTGACTGCTAATTAAGGAAGGGAATGTCTGAATGTCTGAATACAAACTTATCATATTTTTTAGAATTTAACTTACTTTTTTACCATGTTCTTGATGTGCCATATTGGAGGAAAGGAGTCCTTTAAAGATGTTTTATAGTTCCTGTTCAAGTCACGTCCAGTTAGTGAGCAACGGTAATTACCAACAATGACTCCATCTGGGTTGATCATTGGAACTATCTTGAACACAAATGTATCACGTAGAAGCTGTGGACAAATARCATAATCTTGTTTATCTAAACCAACTATTCAAAGCAAACAATTGATTTTATATAGAATCAATTGATCATCAAGAATGAGCAGTATAATGATCAATGAAATACTCACATTTTAATCAATACATACAAACAATTCAATCATTAAAATATGATTGTTACCAATCAGTAATTGATTATCAATTGAAATATGTTTGATTTAACCTTAGCATCAGGATTGTTGCTTGTCAAGAAATCTAACAGTCCTTTCATCATCCAGCTGGAATTTGTCTCTCCAGGATGAACTCTAGCTGTAATAACCACTGCACGCTTTGCCTGTCAAAAAGAAATAATAATAATAATAATTAATAATAAAATAATAATAATGAATTACTTTACTACTGCTGTATAAAGTGAAACAACAATGAAACAACTCTGTTCTTGAATTATGCCTAGTTACAGATGGTTTTTATCAGACTGGCTGCAACCACATAAACCAGAATGTGCATGCCAAATACTTTCACTTTTGTGCTGTCTCAGTGCCTATTCTCAATTTTTATTTTTTTGATATTTGCTATTATGTTGATACCACTCAGGGTTCTGTGTTGTGTGCTGTCCATGTTATATTGCACAGTCATACAAAATCTACTATTGACATTAATGTGTTCCATTGCTGTAATATCTGTAGCATAGTTTGCCTATCAGTAAAATGTATTTTACTTGTAAGGGAGGTAAGGTATATGATAATGGGAGAGAAACAATGAGTAGACAAATGGGATTGGATCTAGTAGGCAAATCAGTTATTAGACCAACTTTGTTAAGAAATTTGTAACCTCATTACTAAAATTTGAATTATAGAGTGACGTTAAAATTGTAACCAGCAATATAAGAAAAGAGAAAAGTATAATAAATATGGAGCATCATTTTATACGTCATATTTTACCAGATGAGGAAATATCTTACCAATTAATACAATGATATAAACATGTACATAGAGTATAGCCACTTAACATTCCAAATAACCTTATTCTTCACGATTTACAATAGATATACTATACCTCAGCATCAGCCGGCCTTCTAGATGGATTGGTGATGGTCAAAATATGAACAAAATTACCACAAAGAGTTCGACAAAGAACACGTTGTTTGCACAGTCTGGTCTTGATGGGATCATTTCTTATCACAGCCAAGTACTCCTTATAAATAAAAAGAAACAATAAACAATCAATCATGAATTACATTTTAACAGCATTAATAATAACAATCAATATTATTACACTGTCATCTTTACTGTTTGCAAGCTGAAATTTCGAATTATTACATGTTGTATGGTTGTAAAATTACTTCTTGAGCTACGCAGTCCACATGCTCATCAAATAATTGATGAAAATGAGAGGAAAATTAAAATGTGACATTTACATGTTATAATGAGTTTATCCATGATACCTGCAGATCAGAGTATGTATAGGGGTAGCAATGAGCAAAGTAGCATGTATCTCTATTGTACTGGAACTGACAGCTCCATGTCAAAGTATAATGATAACGATCTTTAGTTGTATCCTCACGTCTGAAATAAAATATGCAATATTTTAAATGATTTCAAGTGACACGAGGCATTCAAACAGAATATCCTGCGAATTGCCAACACTTGGAGAAATGGTGGTCAATGACTGTATAACACTATAATTATATTATAATTACTTATCTATTGCAACTCAATACTCTGGTCTCAGTTTGATTCCTAGTTTGTTACCATATAGTAAGATAAGTTGAATATCAATTGAATATTAATTATATAAATCATTTATATAATTTTGCTGTTGGCTATTCAACTGTGTATTATATATTTAATTAATAAGTGTATTATTTTGTTTATTTGTTCATTCTTTTAAGCATTTTAAAATTTATCTCTACTGCATGGTCTTATCAAGAAAACGCATTTGCCCATAATTCAGTCAAAAAACTAGAAAACATGCAGCTACAAACATCAAGATTTAAAAATTCTTGTATACCATTAGAGGTAAAACTTTCACTGTCCCATAATTTTTACAAAGTATAACAAACTCTAGTTCACTTTAAGTAATGTTTAAAGTCTGACAATGAGGACTAGACGGGAGTTCAAGTCCCCGCAATTAGTTCCAGTCCGAGGAGTTAGATGACTATAGACTGGATGGTAGGGGATCGAGTCGTGAGGGAGTCATGTATCAAAGACCTTTTTTCACTAAATTATAATGTTAAACTGATTATTTCTAATAATTTGATTATCATTAGCTAGTAGTAGATGCAAACTTGTTAGAAGTAACTGGAAATAAGGTAGAATACAAGGTACGAGTACTTCCTCTGGTTTCAAGTTACTTCACGTGGTACAAATTTCAATCAGGGATTGGCTGGATACCTCATGAATAACTAATGAGTATGAGAAATACTGGTAGACTTTGCTGGGAATTGATAATATATATTATACCTGATCTCATTTTTGTAGTACTTGATATTAATACCAGTCCTCACCCAACCTGTCTTGTTTTTATAGGCATCCATTTCAGAGTACATTAAAGGTTGCATACCATCATTGTAAAGACTGTTAGACTGAAAAAAACACCATGCCGGTTAGAATACATGTAGCTTACCTATATTATACCATCAATTGTATTGTCAGACTAAAACAAATAAATGTGAGCTTGAAAAACATAGGTATTTCAAACTAATGTGACATTAATTATTTGGTAATTAGCTAGGATTGATGGATCTGGTAAGCTGATGAGCATTTTATCATAATAAAGCAAATAAAATAAAATAATTTTCATGCCTCTGTTACATTCAGAGAAATTACTAATGCTCTATTTGACTTCTATTTTCAGATGCTCATGCAGGAACAACATATACAGCATGAAGAATGTTGATATTGAAATACATTTAATGTCTACACATTCATTAACAATTGGAGTGTACCTTGATAAAGTTCATGATGTGAAAACGGTATGTTATGGCAGCCTTGGTGTTCCTGACTCTAAAGAAGAACCATTGAGTGTGTTTGACAGTGTACATGTCTGTTCTCATCCATAATTGATATTCATATGGACCCCTGCAACAAAGTGAATTGTTTCAACTCTAAACATAAGTTACATGAAGAGCAGTCACCTTTTGTAGAATTTGATGACATCATTTATCACATCATTATATAAATGATATACCATAACTTATTTTTCCATAAGACATTTTTATTTTAATCATGCATATTTTTTTTAGAAATGGATCTCCTTGTGGGAAGTGAACATTGAAATGTTAGTAAATCATCATCGATATCATAGAAAGCCATATGGGCTAATGTACTGAAACATTTCAACTGCAAACTCCTAGTTGTCATGAGGTGACGGTGTAGAATGGATCCTCTTCATTTTTAAGAACAGCTGTAATACATATCACTTTCCAGGCATTTTTTCATTTTCATTTATTTTTCATTTTTTTTACTTTAAAAAGTAGGAAAATCTTTCAAAGGTATCCTACACAACATTAATTTATATCTTACACTTTTATGGCTCTTTTCAGGTTTCCACTTTCAAACCGTGATTCAAATACCAGGGTGTGATCATCAGCAGACTGYACATTGTAGAAAGGCTTGTTTGGAATTGTAGTTCCACCAACACGAGAATGTAAAAACTGAAATATCAAGTTATTTCATATTGAACATTATCTATGATTCCAATGTATTTGAATAAAAAAATGAACGTTTTCAAAGATCAGTGCTTGAATAACACAAAGTCGATACTGAAAAGTCTGTCCATGGTATCAAATCATAACACACAAATATCAAAACTGCTTTTTGGTGTTACCGTTAAGCAAGAATACCATGATTTCATACCTATCATCATCACACTCAGGCTACTCATGGTTAAAAAGCAAACAGCATTACTTACATATTTTTCAGAACCTGGTGCATTATCATAGACCAATTGTCCTGATTCCTCAGCAGCTTTGCACAGACCAGCTAGAGTACTGCTGGCTTCTAAACACAACAAATAACATTGATTGAAGAGAGAGAGAGAGAGAGAGAGAGAAAGAGAATGGAGTTGAATTGCATGCTAGGAATCAAATAATGAGCAGCTATAGCAGCTGTGAAATGAACTTGAAGTATAAAAAGTGCTTTTGAACAAAGAATATTGAAAATCAGATCATAAATTTTGTCTTTTTTTCTTTTGTGCGTAAACAAGAAGCTTCCATAATACTGGGATTCTTCAATTATATGGGGCAGGAGTACTGTTTTCTGACCCCATGGCATTTTTGTATGTTCAAAAAATATGACTTGTTACCTTGTTTGCAGAAA